GGCCAGGGAGCAAGGTGGTGCATTGAAGTGGCAGGCAACCGGTAGTTGCTGGCAGAAAAGACCCTGAACTACCTGTTGCCTGCCACTTCAATGTACTGCCTTGCTCCCTGGCCAGTGTCTCTGTCTCTGGCTTGCTACAGTGTTCTAGTGTTTTCCCAGCCACCATCAGGTCTGAGGAAGGGTCACCGGACCCGAAACGTTAACTCTGTTTTCTACTCCACAGATGCTGCCAGGCCTGCTGAGCTTTTCCAGCAACTTTGTTTTTGTACAGCATAATTCTGTTTACTATATTTTCATGTATTAAAAACCTTATTTATGGTCACTTAGCAAGTCAGTTAAAACAAAGCATAGGACAGATAGAAAATATTTGTTTTTGAAGGTCATATTCTTGCTGGATTACATCTATATGAACTCACCATCCACATTGTAGACTTTCAGTCCAGCCATATGTTTGGCTGCACGAGATTTTGCAGCAGTCAAGAGTGCTGGGTTGTGGACAGTGAAATCCTTGTAGTAATTCTCCAGAATGACAAGGGCAGCTCGTTGGATACTGAAAACACAGGATAACATTTCTGAATACAAAAGAAATGGAACAGTGAAATAGTTCAATTAATTCTGCCTCAGACCTTACTTCTGACAATTCAGTGATCAAGGACCATGACTAAAAGTTTCTTGAAATGGATATTCAATTTTCTTTGAAAAGTTTGTCCTTGGTTATATTGTTTCAATGTCGGAGCTATACGTGACAATTCAATTTAGTATCTTGTACAAGTCAACTTGCTCAATACATGGTATAAAGCTTTTGGAAGGTTGTGAAAAAGCAATATCTGAGGAAATTGTGGAACCTAAAAAAAAACTATGTTTCTCTGTAACAGAGTACGTAAACTTCATGTTTTGAAGCAAACTTTTAAAGTTTTCAGGAGCAAGCAGAGTTGAGGCATTACACAGTAGCTTAATACTTATTAGAACAGGAACCATTAAGCCCGCTCTTCAATCTATACGGTATCTAAGAGGCCAGAATAAAGTCTTCTGGAATGGACTCCAGCTTACATCCACATTTTAGGAATCAATGCTTCAACTAGGCGCTTGCTTTGTGCAAGTCTGAGTAAAATCTGAGTGGTAGAGTCCAACTTGGTTAAACAATATTTTCTATCATGAGTCCCAATGACAAGAGTTTTATCTCAAACAACTTCTAACCCATTTATCACTACTTGAGGATTCTGTTTCTTCTAGTGCCTCCTAATAAAGTCAGTGTTTCATCCATCTCCATGGTCATAAGCACAGTAATGGCTAATTGTATTAAAGGAGGAGTTGGGATTAACAAATTAGAAATATTGTTATGCCTCCTTCACTCATATACAGATCAAAGCCAAAGTCACAACTGTTTCTTTCAATTTGTGCTAAGTACAGACACGCTTCTAAAGGCTGATGTTCTGATAGACATAAAGTTTTAGCACTTTGTGTTCTTTATGAGAAGAGGGACATGGAAGAGAAACTTGAAAAGAAATTAGGAAGAAATGAAAGTTTTGTGTATTTTGATTTGGCAATGGTTGACAAATAAGGAATGATTAGTTGTTGTATTGGGAGGTGGGGATGGTGGTATGCTGCGTCTGCTCCCAAGTAAGTGTTAACAAGTTGAATTGATAATCTCAAAATTATATTCATAGAATGCAGAAGAGACACCTAGGGCACTTTCATAATTTAAAGAGTTTACAAAAGCTTATTTTTGAAAACTGTAAACAGCTGAAACTTAAGCAGCTTAAACTGCTTAAAATGGAGCAAAGATATGTGGATGCACATGTGGTCAGAACTAGCAAGCTATTTCCTGGGGAATAGAAGGCATGAGGACGAGGGTGGAGGAACTTAGATGGTGGAAGAATAAGATGACGGAGGAATTAAGCATGAAAGTGAAAACTTCAAAGTCAAGGCACTTGGGGGACTGTGAGCTCATCTAGGCTCAGCAAGGACAGAGCTGATAGATTAGCAAAGTTGCGTGCAGGCAGCAGAGGTTTGGATTAGGTGGAGAACATTGGAGAAACAGAACATCTTTATGATAAGAACAGATTCAGGATTGAAAGCTCAGCTCGGGGTCATAAACAATGCAGAGTCTGCATGCCATCTGGTTACGTATAAAGCAGTAGTCAGGGAGGAGAGTAGAGTTTGTGGCAAGTATTTTCAGCCCTGGTCAGAATAGAAAACAATAGCTTCAATCTTCCCAACAGTAAACGGAGAAAAATGGAGTTTCACACAGAACTGAATACTAGACAAACTGTTTGACAACACAAAGGCAAGGCAGCAGAAGGCTGAAAAGAGATGGCAGCAATGGAGAGTTAGACAGCAATGCAGATATGATGGTTAGGTGAGACAGTAGGATTAGCCAAGGATAGAATTTAAGGAATTTACATGGTGATGGCATTAAAATGGAGAGGGAGCTGCTTTCTGGAGGAGATTATCAGAATAGGAACTGATAGATATTGGTAGAAGTGAATGACAGCAGGTCCACTGAACTGGACAATGGAGATGGGGTACTAAAGGAGGATGGTCTGGCTGGCTGTGTCAAATATCATAGAGATGAAATGAGAATGCACCACAGACCATCACTGGTAACTTCATTTTGGTTGGTTTAATACTGTGGAAAAGGAACTGTCCTAATGGCGGCAGTTTAAATTCAGAGTTGCAAGAAACGTGTACAGAAATTTAGGAGGTCATTTAACAAGGTTGAAAAAGCCCAAGATAACGTTCAATGATTTTAGCATTCCCTTAAATTTTGCTGATGACTCAATGGTCATTGAATATGTGTGTGAGTGTGTGTGAGAGAGAGAAGAGACAGAGAAAGAAATATAAAGAGAGTGTAAAAGTTATGTGAAGGCAGAAACAAGAAAGTAGCACTGATGAGGCATACAAAAAGAATGGTGAGGTACAAGAGGGCTTTAGTCATCCATCAAATGGTGCCGCAGTAGCAGTTATAGCCTTCAGGACAGACAGAAACAAAAGTGGTGAAATAAAATACGCACAGGCTTACCCTTTCTATTCCCTCCCCTCCCCGTGGGAACCATGACTCACAGATGTGCAGTATTAAAGGAAATTAGCTTGCAGGTTAACACTTGGCATGCCTAAAGAGATCATATGTACAAGAGAATAATTTAGGAGAATAATCTAGAGATGATGGGCACAGGAGTCTCTGCAGTAAGTGTTAAATAGTGGCTGAATGTGATCAGTTAGAGCTCATCTTTGTGATTAAAACTGTACAAAAGCAGGTAATTCATAAAAGCAATTAATGATCAAATAAATATGGGATTATGGTCAAGTAATGTCATCTCACAAATATCACACTCCCATTTAAGGTCTTTTTGAAACAAGAGCATGCTATTTAAAATTGCATGATTATAAATGTATTCAATAATTGTTTTTAAATGTCCAAATGGTTTCATCTTGTGCCCTAAGCATCAATTTGTCAATGGATGTCAGTAACCTGAGTGGCTCGGTTGGGGTGTGTATTGGGCTATGATACATCTTAGTTGAATTGCAATGCAAGAAATCTGCCAGCAGAGTCCCCCAGTGAGTCATTTACTAACTGAAGCCTCATTCACCGCGTGACACAATAGAATGAGTGCATTCTTTGCTTATGATGATTTTCACACTGATCTTATGCCTGTAGCAGCCAAATGAAAAATATTGATAATTCAACCAGCAATAAACATCAAAATGCATTACAAACATGGGTTTAAAAACAATATCAGAGAGAAAAAAATGACATTTCAGCATTTAGAAAGAGAAAAAACAAAAACTGGAAAGAATCTGCGCAGTGTTTATATTGAAAGTGGTTAAATAGCAGAAATGGTATCATCAGAAGACCACAGAGGTACAATGAGAGAAAACAAATAAATAGAAGATACAAGAGTGTGAATTGGAAAAGGAAGGATCATAAACTAGGTAGAGAGAGCAGGATCCACTGACCTGGAAACCCACTGGAAAAAGAAAAAGAGGTCAACACCAAGACCTCAGATCACATGGAGGCAGGGAGGCATGTCTTTGCTGATTATTTTAGAATAAAGAGTTAAAACCACACAAAGGCAATTGTGTGAGGCTGCACTATAGAAGCATGAGTCAGTAGAGGATGATAAGGTGGATTTCATATGTCAGGTGGTGCAAAAAATTTAATTTGGACCAAACAATATTTTCAGTTGTATAGGATGTTATTGTTTACATGACTTTCACATAGAAGGTTGGATGATAAGCGCTCAAGTGAGACTAAAAGAATCCAAACAGAGAATTGTAGGTAAGCTTGAAGCTGGATTCCATTCAAAAAATCTTACTGAAGAAACCCACTTTGTCCTGTGAATCACAAAAATCTCCCTAAAACTTTCTGCCTTTTAAAATCCCCAGCTTAGTCAAATCAGTATTTCTAGATGAATGCAACACATTATAATATTGATAGTGTCATGGCCTACAGGCATTTTGGTCCGAAAAAAATATGAATGGAGATGAATTTTAAATGATAATTGATACAAACCAGAAAAATAAACAAAGAAATCATGAAGACAAAAATAAGAAAAAATAAAAAAAAAAACACACACCAGGCAAAAGTGGACAGACCAACTGATACACTTGCATCATGTTCAGTGACATGCTTGGTGCCATTTGATAACATTTCCGTTACCATTGCAGGAACCAGTAGATAACAATACAGGTTTAACTTGCTTATCTACAATCAGAGGGACTTCTCTTCTAGCCATCTATTGACAGCGGAAGATAACCGGCTATGTTGGTTCTACCGGTCTTAAGATTTATTAAAATAGTTGAATCTTCTGTTCCTCCAGTTCTGAGGAAGGGTCACTCAATCTGAAACATTAACTCTGATTTCTCTCCACAGATGCTGCCAGACCTGCTGAGCTTTACCACCAATTTCTATTTTGTCGCTGTTTATGTTAACAAAAGTGGAATCACAGGAACAGTATGTCCAGTTGTTCTTTTCATCCCACAATGGTAAACCGGCAAGTCAAAATGCTACATTTTTAAAAACGACCATTTTACTCTTGCTTGTAGCGCAAAACAATAAAGAAATTGGAATTGGGATGGAATCAATTCCACCTGATCACAGGAACAGAGGAGAATGTAGGACTTACTGATGCTACAACATCTAACATGAAATAAGCCGCTTTACACCTGATAATTAACAGTATCAATATGAAGCACAAACAGTGCTCTGTTTCCTCAATATTAACAGATCTGCACCCTCGTAAAGTTGGCCCAGACCCAATTATTTTTTCCTCTTTAATGCCCCAACAGATCACGTGCTCCCTGCAGTAGATAGGGGATTTCCATTACAGCAGTATTGGTGATTTTCTGTTATCTGCAGGAGGTACATACTCTATCCCCTGTGGATAACAAGGACTTGGTGTATAGCAAATTCCCTTAGTCAAGTTAGGAAGATTGAACAGATATTTTGGTAAATGTTTTTTTCTAACTGCAGGCTTTTGTTTTAAATCTAGCAATCGCTTATTGTGATGCAGAACAAATTTGACAATAACCTCAAGTATGAACCTTGAGGTTCTTTCACAGGCAATTAACACTCACAAGAGAACAATACAAACAGACATCTGCAATGCGACCCAATCACCAAACTGAAATGATGCCATGTAAGTGTAGAGATGTAAGCAAACTGTAAATAGAAGGAGGTACAGCACTTTCACTGAAAGGTAAACACTTCACACACTGATGGCAGTTGTCTGGATTCTACCAAACTCCAACTTGTCCCTTCTTCTGACTGTTTACAAAGTCTGAGCAACAATTTTGTATAGGAAAGAAAATGGCAATAACTTCAGCTATTTATATCTGAGCATTACATTTCAAACAACCAAGAGTCAATCAATCCACATTCAGTGTTAATTTATATATATGAAACTTCAATGCATTAATTACAAACTCGTGCTCATTTTCTCATGGATATTTCAATTTCATCTTGAGCTCTAAACATTCTCATTGGACTCATCTAAGATTGTTTGAAGACAATAGCAGGAAAAATAAAACAACAAAAAAAAATTGATAACAGAAATTAAGTATAGCAAACAGTGCTGCTGTACGACACATACCTCAGTACACCTACACTGTAGAAATGAGATTCACCATCAGTTGATCGGGTCACTTTCACAGTGAACATGGGTTGCAGCTGACGCAATTCCAGAAGTACGATTGCCAGGTAGTGGATAAACAAGAGGGCATCTACCAGTGAAACTGCATACTGAACAATTCCTTGGTAATTTGTATCTCTTGAGTCCAGAATGCGTACTCCGTAGAAAAGCCAATAAGAAACCACAAATACGAATATTAGCACCATCAGGAGTGCCCGAAACACAAAAACACGTGGCATCTGTGCCTTTGGTTTGCGGAAGAAGAGTGCCCACGTTCCAATGAGAAGGATGAGAAGCTTGAAGGCAACAGAGATGAATAGCCCTTCACATACAGTACCACAAGGTTCAAGTACTTCACGCCAAAGAACTTGAGGCAGAACCATAAAGGCAATGGGAGTTAAAAAGACCAATACTCCAAGCACAGCAGCAATGGCTATTCCTAAGTGTCGGGTACAGTCTAGCCCAGTATCATCCACATCCTTTGTGATCCTTGCAATATCTTCCTGCGATATACTGTGTTCGGACGTCCCAGTGATGGCTGTTGTGGTTTCCCCCCAGTTATCATCCTGCAGGTAAAATGCAATGATCAGAACTACACTTTACAAATTTTACTGAAGTCAGAGACTAAGTGAAGTAGAATGTCATTGTTTTTTAAAAAAAAAGTATCTTTAACACAGTCTTGGAGAGTTTTGATATATTTTCTGAATAAATGCCAATACTGTGTTAGTTCTCTACTAAATCAGTAAGTTTAAAAGATCTTCAGCAACTTTCCATCTGGTATCAAATCTACATTTCGAAGCCCAGACACCCCAAACAATCTCATGATCTACTGAAATCAAACAGCTTCTGTTTATTTGCATCCATGCTACTGCAATACTTTTGATTTTGTGATAAGAATTATTTGTTAACTATTCATTTAAAGCTACCATCTTTGAGACCAAAATTATAGCTTCAGTGGTAGATATGATCAAAATATTACAGGAGAAATTCAAAACAGTTTATTTATTAGGCAAGTGTGTGAATCTCAGAACTTAATCACTTAGTTGGAGGATATATGCTCTAAAAAGCTCCTTTTCCAAAACTAGAAGTCAGAGGAAATATTTCCATATTGCCCTTACAATGACTAGGAGAAAATAATCCCCTAATTTGTTATTGAAACCCCCACTTTGTTTTTTGTATCCTGATTTTCTCATCAGTATGCACTTAGTCTTGACAAATTCACCATCGCACACATTGTTCAGATCATCTTGCCCAATGTTACCACTAAAAAGGTCAGTAATATTACTTAGTTTCAAAGAATGGGGCCCTGGGGATTGTTGCTGAACAAAGAGACCTAGGGGGTGCAGCTGCATAGTTCCTTGAAAGTGGGGTTGCAGGTAGACAGGGTTGAAGGTGGTATTTGGCATGCTTGCTTTCATTGGTCAGTGCATTGAGTATAGGAGTTGGGATGTCATGCTGCAATTGGACAGGACATTGGTGAGACCACTTTTAGAATACTGCGTACAATTCTGGTCACCTTTCAATAGGGAGGATGTTGTTAAACTTGAGAGGGTGCAGAAAAGACTTACAATGATTTTGCTGGGACTGGGAAGTTTGAATAATAGGGAGAGGCTGAGTAGGCTGGGGCTTTTTTCCCTGGAGCATCAGACGCTGAGGGGTGACCTTATAGAGGTTTGTAAAATCGTGAGGGGGATGGATTAGATCAACAGTCAAAGTCTTTTTCCTAGGGTAGGGAAGTCCAAAACTAGAGGGCATAGGTTTAAGGTGAGAAGGGAAGGATTTTAAAAAGGACCAGAGGGGTAACTTTTTCATGCGGAGGGTGGTTATGTACGGAATGAGATGCCAGAGGAAGTGGTGGAGGCAGGTACAATAACAACATTACCTTAGAGGGATATGGGCCAAATGCTGGAAAATGGGACTAGGTCAGATTGGGATGTCTGGTTGGCACAGAAGAGTTGGGCCTAAGGGTGTTTCCATGCTGTCTAACTCTATATTATTTTAAATAAAGCCTCCTGTTTAAGCAAGTATGAATCCAAGACTGCTGCTGCAATCTCTTTAAGAACATCCTTGTCTATCTTTCCTCTGAATAGTTTTGTTCTTATGTTTAGACATTGTGCAAGACCCCGGAAAGATGAAGATGGTGAACCTCAGCACATTTAAAACTATTTAGATTCTGGCTAACATATTTAATAGAAAATTCTCTCTCTCTTACAACAAACGTATTCTGCCTTGCACATGCATCATCTGGTGCTCTCTCTCCTGGGGCTTCAGCAGCAAATACCTCAGTTCTCTGTAGAAAATGCCTTTAGACACAACTCAAATAATCCCATTAACTTCCCTAAGCTGCCCAAACCGTGAAGTGCAAAACTGAACACACTGATTATGATCTTTAGTGAATTGAAGTTGAACTGCCACAATGGGTATACTCTGGCAAGAGCACAGTTTGACATGTTTGTTGTTGATAAGTGTTCCAGGATTACTTGGCTTTGTTACCTCTTCACCGACAAAATTTACACAAGCCTGCCACCTAGTTTTTAAAAAAAATCAAACATTGTGATATTTATTGAACGAATACATTTTTTACAAAAATGATCACAGCCATGAACTTTAGTGAATGTTTTCCCATTCCAAACGAGCTCTGACAATGGCAAATATTATGATTGAACACCAAAACCCAAGTCAGAGACTAAAAAAAGTTGTCAGCAGAGAAGGCCGTGGGGTGGAACAAAGGTTACACAGACACATGATGCAAATACAAACCACTTGCCCAACACATTTTACTTCAACCATTGATAAAAACTTGCATTTATACAATCCAGAAAATCCTTTAAGCCATTTTACAGGAGGTGATAAAAAAACTGCAGATAGCTAAAGAACACAGGGATTTGACAGTCCTCATCCATGAATCACAAAACGCTAGCAGTTCAGCAGGTAATAGGAAAGACAAGTGGAATGTTGCCCTTTATTTCAGATGAAATGGAGTACAAAAATACATAGGTTTTGTTAAAACTATGCAAGACACTAGTAAATAAAGCTGGAACACTGAACAGTTTTGGGTTCCCTACCTAAGCAAAGATCGACTAGCACTGGAGACTGTCCACAGTAGGTTGATACCAGATACGGAGGGACCGTCTTATGAGGAGAGGTTGAGCCTGTACTCAATGGAATTTACAAGAAACAGGCCGGACCTTATTGAAACACACAAGATTGTTAAGGATCAGAGAACATAATCGCCGATTCAGGGATTGCACGTTTAAGATATAGATGAGGAGGAATTTCTTCTCTCAGAGTGCTGTGAATCTGTGAAATTCTTTACCACAGAGGGCTGTTGATGGTCAGTCATTAAATATATCCAAGGCTGAGACAGGCAGATGTTTAATCTTTAAGGGAATCAAGGGTTCTGGGGAAAAGGTAAGGAAATGGAGCCGAACAAATCAAGTCGGCCACTGAATGATAGAGCAGACTCAATGGGCTGAATGGCATACTTCATTCCTAAGCCTTCTGATCTTAAAGGATTATTAGAATAGATAAAAGATAGGACACTGGGGCTTACAATTATGAGAGATAGTCAAAAAGATGGCTTTGCATTAGATTTTAAAATATAAAGAGATGCATATGCATTGAGAGTGAATTAAGCTGAAGTGCTCTGGACTCTGCCACCAATAGTTGAATGAGACAGGGAGATGATTCACATAAGGCCATGAGATTGATGACCAAAGGAACCAAAAGATTTCCGAGGGAGAGATAAGGAAATTGTGAACAAAAACTGGGGCAACGTCATATATATAAAAGCAGGGATGTACTTCTGAGGCACTATAAGGCTCTGATCGGGCCACATCTGGGATATTGTGTGCAGTTTTGGGCCCCATATCTCAGGAAAGAGGTACTGGCCCTGGAGCGGGTTCAGAGGAGGTTCTCAAGCATGGTCCCAGGAATGAAAAGCTTAACTTATGAGGAACCTTTGAGGACTCTGGGTCTATACTCAATGGAGTTTAGAAGGATGAGGAGGGATCTAATTGAAACTCTCAGAATACTGAACGGCCTGGACAGAGTGGATGTTGGGAAGATGTTTCCATTGGTAGGAGAGACTAAGACCCGAGGGCAAGCTTTAGAGTAAAGGGAAGACCTTGTAGAACAGAGATAAAGAGAAACTTCTTCAGCCAGAGAGCGGTGAATCTATGGAATTCACTGCCACAGAAGGCTGAGGGGGCCAGGTCATTGAGTATATTTAAGATGGAGATAGATAGGTTCTCGATTGTCAAGGGAATCAAGGTTTACGGGGAGAAAGCAGGAGAATGGGGCTGAAAAACTTATCAGCCATGATTGAATGGCAAAGCAGACCCGATTTTTGCTATGTCGTATGGTCTTATGTAGCAAACAGCAAAATATTTAATGCGTATGGGACAATGACCAAGCATAGGCCATCAAGTACAGGGTCAATGGCTGGCCAAGACTTCGAGCAGCAAATTTATTTAGCATGGGCAATTACATTTCAGTCAATTTGGACAAGAAATTACTCTTTATGTGACAGCCATTATGAGATGGAACTGCTACCGATTACTGAGGCTTTCAAATGACTATTACACACAGCAAACATATTCAAGTACTAAAGTAAACAGGACATTGCAAAACTACAAAATATGGAAGCCTGAGAGCTCTGTATGCTATATGTTAGAAAGAGCTTAATGGTCAATACAGTCAAGCTATATTCTCTGGTTGGGGAAATTCAGAACAAGAGGGCAAGAGGATATAATTAGAGCTAGATCATTCAGGAGTTAAATTACGAAGCAATTTACAGACAAATAATAGTGGATGTCTGGAATTTTATTTCCCAAAAAGACTGTAGATGCTGGTCCAATTTAAATGCTCAAGACTGAATTCAGCTTTTTTGTAAAAATCAGGTAATGATATTGATCAATCATGGGTAATTGAAGTTTTCCACAAATCACCTATGTTTTAATTGAGTTGGAAGTGTAGCTTTAAGGGGTTGAATGCCAACTCCTGTTTCTATGTCGCAGGCATGTACACTAATTCTTCCTCAGCATGCTTGTCAGTGAATTTCATTGTCCAGCAAGTTGTAAGACTATAATGGCAAACATAATGGCACATCAGCACAAGATCTTTTCCCCTCTGTGTAAGCATTTGAGTACAACTGGCAAGGCCTATAAATATTGCTAACCTATAATTGTTTTTCAAAAGACAATAGTGACTGCCTTCTTCAGTTACTGCAGTTAATGTTGCAAAGGTTCACTAATAATGCTGCCAGAGATGGAGTTATTAGATTTTGACCTCCTGACAGTGAAGGAAGAGTATTATAGTTCCAAGTCAGAATGGTTTGTGGCCTGGTGGGAAATCTGCATGTGGTGACATTCAGAGGTCTCAGTGCCTTTGTTCTTCTTGGTGGTAGAGATCGAGAGTTTGGAAGGTACTGTCAGAGGTGCCTGGGTGAGTTGCTGTCAAAGAAGCCTCAGAGATTTGCTGTAATGCACCTTGTAAATAGTACTCACTACTGTTTTTGTGTGTTGGTGATGGAAAGAGTGAATGTTTAAAGTGATGCATGGGATGCTGAACAGTCAAGAATATTACTGAAGTTGCACTTACCCAAGCAAGTGCAAAGCATTCCATCATATTCCCAATTTAGTTCTACTAGATCACAGACAGACTTTGTAGTCAGAAGTTACTCATTGCAGTACTCCAAGCCTCTGACCTTCTCTGGTAGCCTGGCTAGCCAAGTTAAGTTTTTGATCATCCTCTACCATGTCATTGTTGTATAATTCATCTGTACTAATGCCACTAGTCATCAAAGGGAAATAGTTATATTCTCCTTTTTGAAGATGATGTATGCCTGGTACTAGCGTGACATGAATTTTACTTTTGATTTCACTAGCCAAAGACTGAATGCTGCGCAGGTTTTTTCCTGCAAGGGGACAAGTTCTGCTACCATACTTGAAGAGTTGCAAATGGAATTGAACACTGCACAATCATCAAACACGCTCACTTCTGACTTTTACTGGACAGTAGCTTGTTGATGAAGCAGCTGAAAATGGCTGGATCAAAGACATTATCGAGATACTCATGAAGTAATTCCATGGATTGAGATGATTGGTTACTAACAATCATGATCATCTCTCTTTGTCCTAGGTATGACTCCAACGACTGAGTGCATCAATTTCCATTTGGTACATTCAATCAATTTGACTTGACATCAAATACAGTCACTCTCCGCTCTCGAATTCAGTTCTTTTTTATCCAAGTCTAGAAAAGATTATAATGTGGTTTGGAGCTGAGTGGCCCTGGCAGAACCCAAGCTGAGCAGCGAGCAGGCCATTGTTGAATGAGGACCGAGCAACAGCACTATTTACAATCCCTTCATTACTTTGCTGATGACTGAAAACAGACCGATGGTACACTAACTGTCTGGATTGGATCTACACTGATTTTGGTGGGCTGGACACATCTAGGCAACTTTCCACATTACCATTACAACTCTGCTGGATCAGATCAACTAGTGATGCAGTTACATTTAGAATTACAGTTGGATGTTGTTAGGGCCCAGAGTCTTTTACAGTAATAGCTTAGCTCACAGTTTGCTCTAACAAACAGACAGAAACAAAAGGAAAAACAACAAACGAGACAACGTCAAGACAGCAAAACTGCGAGTTAGCTGGTGAAAAATATTTTTACGTGTGTAGCTATCTAGTAAATCAAATGAAAAGGGACCGTATCAGATAAACTTTAGAATTTTACAAATAAAAATACTAATGCTCATTGGCTTTCTGATGTCTGGTTTCAGAGACTTCATTAAATAAAATTATACCCCAATCTTACAGCAGCAACATCCTATGGTCCAGTTTACATTTCCGAAATTGATAAATATGTCCAAGCGTTACCTGTACTGTCTCATCTCCGCGAGTTGACTCATTGCCAAGCAGAGGCTCTGCTGGTGGCGTTTGGATGGTAACAGATTTCTCAGACCGGCTACTATCTTTGTTTCTGGATCTTTGCCGATCCCGGCTCCTTTCACTGAAAGAGGCAAAAAAATAGGGAATTTGGTCCCTGCTACAGAACTTATGTTAGACTATTTCATATCACAGCTGACACCAGTGGTAACACAATTCAGTAGAGATTCTGCTATATTAAACAACATGTCCCCACTCTAAAACTTCAATTCACATCAGTTTTAGCTTAAATAATTGAATATTAGGGTTACCTCCCATTTTGATGCAACAAATGGGATTACAAAAGTGATCCTCCCTTGAAGATTCCTATAAGGTTGTGAGAGAAACAATTTTAAGCAAGTGTTCATTAAAAAGAATAGTACTGTGAATATTGTGAACCACGTTTAGGGTTAGATAAACTAACAGATGGTTAAAGGGATCAAGCCCATACAGAACATGATCGAGGCAAAAAAAAATCAGAAAACATGCAACAACAAAAACACTGCAGTAAAATCATGCTCATAAAACTCAGTTATAAAATATATTATAAATTAATGGAAGGAAAATGAAGTATTTCCCATCTATAGGAATACACAGGAAGCAGTCCTCCAGCAGTCAGCAGTGAGAGGTACTCAGAAATTAGAATCTCTACACTGTGGAAGCAGGCCATTTGGCCCATCGCGTCCACATTGAACTCTCCGAAGCACACCTTATCCACACCCACCCCTCTACTCTATCCCTGTAATTCTGCATTTGCCATGGCAAATCCACCTAACTTGCGGGAGGAAACCAGAGCACCTGGAGGAAACCCACACAGACACAGGGAGGTTGTGCAAACTCCACACGGATAGGCGCCAAGGCTGGAATTGAACCATGGTCCCGAGTGCTGTGAAGCAACAATGCTAACCACTGAGCCGCCGTGCGGCCCAGGTACAGAAGAGGGGTTGAAAACAGTGCTCTCTGCAAAGCCCCAAACTCAGCTTGCTCTTCCCTCATCTAACACACACTTAATTTTGGTCACGTCACATCTCATATGGACTGAATCCTCAATAATGGCACGCATCCAAACTCATGGAATTAATGACCCAATGAGTTTTAACACGTGAAGTGCTTTTGTAAATCTACCCAGATACGTCCAGTGCACAAAAAGCAGAATAAATCAAATCCAGCCAATAACCGCCCTATCAGTGTACTCTAAGTCAAGTGATGGAACGTGTCATCGATGGTGATATCAAATATCACTTACATAGCAATAACCTATGCACTGTTGCTCAATTTACATTTTGTCAGGGCCACCCAGATCAGTTCACGGGTATCTTTTCCCCACACATGAACAAAAACAATGAATTCCAGCTGTGGAATGAGTGACTATGCTTGACATCAAGGAAGCAGTTGACCAACTATGCAAACAAGAAGGCCTGACAAAATTGAAGATAGTGAAAATCAAGGAGAACATTCTTCACTGGTCAGAGGCATACTTAGCACAAAAGATAGCTGTAGTTTTTGTAGGCCATTCATCTCAACACCAGCACATCACTGTAGGAGTTCCTCAGGGAGTGTCAAAAGGTACAACTATCTTCAGGAGCATCAATGACATTCCTTCCATCATAACGATTGAAATGGAAATCTCCACAAATGACTGCAAGTGTTAAGTAACACTCCCAGCATCTCAGGCACTGAAGTAGCTTGTGCCGGACTGTAACAAGACTTGGACAATAGTCAGGCTTGGATTGATAAATGCCAAATATCATTCATGCCACACAGTGCCAGGTTGTAACAATGATAAATTCTAATCACTTCACCTTAATTTTCAAAAGAACAACCACTGCTGAATATCTCACAATCAACATCCTAGGGGTTACCATTGCCCAGATACCTAACTGGACAAAGGCATAATATTGTGGCCACAAAAGCAGGTCTGAGGCTCAGAATTCTGTGGTGAGTAACTCAGCTCCAACACCCCAAGCAGTAATATCATATGTACAGAGCAGCAGGAGGAGCAGCACAAAAAAAGCAGCACGGTGTAAAGAAGACAAGTGAATTTTCTGCACACAGAAGGGGCCACATTGCAGGAGTCCACAAAGATGCACAAGTTTATAAATTATGGACCCACTTTGTTGGGCAATGGATTTGTGCAGACTTCTTAAATATGGTAAATAACAATTAATTAAAAGTTTTCACCATAAGATTGAGATTTTCACAAAGGATCTGAATATTACATTACGAAATTTATGGTGAGTTTCAGTGAAAATCAAGGGGCAGAAAAATTTAATCCTTGAACTTTGAACGAATAAGAGCTCTTTTCCCTTCCTCCGACTCTTTTCCACATGAACTGACATTGGGCTACCTCTTAAAAACGATCCATGCTGTTATTACACTGAAAGTAAGACAAGCTATTTTAAAGAAACAGTACCTACCCATGTCTGTGAGAACTCTTGGAGCGGCCTGAATAATAGGAATATCCAGAATATGTGGATTCTGTGTCCATTGTTACAGATTCTTTGCCGACTGGAAGACAGATCGATTTTGGATTATTATGGATCGCTAATAGTTTTTGTTCTGGCTTTCCAGGAGCCAATCAGTGGTTTGTGAATCGTCTTGTTCAGGCCAGTTGGGACAGTTAGTAGTTTGGCAGCATAGTTCTTTAACCGGTCTATCTTGAAAACTAACCATGGGTCTCTCGTGAAGAAACATTAACCTGCAGAAAGAACACACGTAAGCAAAATATTTTTCAAAAAGCATGCCTCAAAATTCAATTCATCATGATTATTGCACAGTAGGTAACAGTGACATATTTGGTAATTACATATATTTTGCCTAGTCAGTAATAAGGAAACAATACAATTACTTTTGTAAATTGAAGGTCTAAACCCAGCTGTTAAACAAAAACATATCCATAGTTAAGTCTTCCAGGGCACAGTAGGAAGTGTTATCTGAACATAAAGAAAACCAGAAAGCACAAAAAGAGATGTAGGTGTTCATTGGAATTCTAATCTGTTTTACAAGTCACCCTATTTTGTGATTACTACATTGTTAAAAATACCTTTTTTTACACTCAACTGGATTAACTGATCAGCTGAAAAACTAAGTCGTAGACCCATGGTTGCAGAGCCACATCCAATAAGGTAGTCCCTCATTTTTAGCATCAAGAACAATTAGAATTCTCCAGGAGAACAATGAACAAGAGTTCCTCATGCACACGCAGAGCTTCTCTTGCAGTAATTAAAATCTAAATGTTTTGACACTATTCAGAGGAGAATTTAAAACATTTAAATTGACTCCACTTCAAGTTCAGGATGTGTTCTGGGTTCTGTGAAGCCGATGAGCACTTTTTAAGCTGAGCATGACACCATATTAGAGTTGCATTACATGCAGTGTCGAAACCAATTTGATTGAAGCTGAGAAGTTATATGACAACAGAAGCGTTACTGCGAGTGGAAAGCAACTGCCAACAAGGTTAAAACTGCAATGAGAAATATCAGATTATGTGCTGCATTGTAGTGTTACAGTAATCATATAAGATGTGGTTGGTGAAACAGCAAATGAATGACAAGAAATAACATGTTCTATATTAAATTCATAGCCTGAATTAAAGACAAGACTGTTATAACTTTAACTTCAATTGTACAAGCAGGAGAGTAGTCAATAACATTAAATCTGTGGGTTTATTGCTCAGTTTGAATGATCAGAAGATTTTATTATCTTTGGCAGAAACATCCTTTGACTAATGTGCAGATGCAAATATTCAAAGTCAGCTGCTTCATAGAAAACAGGAAAAAATGCTAAGCATGAATATTAGAACATCACTACTGACATCTAAAGCTTATCAAGATGGGAACACATTTCATTAAAGCTGTCAGGTTGCCAGAGAAAACTTAAACATAACCTTGAAACTTCATTGCCATAGATGGTGCAGACCTAAAATTATTCATGCTACTTGTTAAATTGATTAGTAATAATATTTTGATCCAAGTGCATACAGATTTATTCATACAGGCATTCCAACTTTAATGGCTGCCATAACAGTAATCAAACTGTCATTTGGTAGGACAGAATTTGAATATTGCTGAAAAGAGACACATCTTGTGAATGCTTTTTCTTTGTACTTATCAGGACAATTTGCAAGAAAACCAGTTCAGTGGAAAGCCAACATTTATACTGCAATGGAGGAGTGTGCTAATTGGTTGGCAAGTGAAACTAGATTGAGATATCGCCATGGAGAATACACCTATTATTGCTGATTGACAGATACCCGCTAGGATTTGATTAAAATATAAACCAGGCAGGGTGACTTTGATTGGTCAGAATGAACCAGCAAACAGCTGCCACATATTTTGTTAAGTGAAAACGTGCAAGTGCATGCACATATTCTGACTTTATGCAAAGAACTGAACACCGAGTATTAATATACGCAGCTTCCAGTACACGGAAGGTATAACCCCAATGCAAACAACTGAAAATTCTAAGCTGGGTGTCAGCATAATTTTTCGTACACTCAATGAATGTTGTCCAATTGCACAATCGTATCTAATGTTAGACACTGCTGCAAGTTTTGCATGGGCTGGCTGGTTAGGTATTGTTCGTATCCTGTTTGTTAAAAACAGCTGTAGTGGTACAGTATTTTAGATGACTTACTAGTCTTTCGGACATAAAACCTGCATACCTGGCATCATACGGGCACACAAAATTGCTCATTTGTGAAGTTGGCAGAACATCCTTATGGCTTGCAGAAACATCCTATTAATGGCAAAATCCATTTGCATTGCCATGCATAGTAGCTAGCTTTACCTGTTACTAAAACTTTTGAGATACCTTACTCAATCTAGGTCAGAAGTCACATGCATCAGGTTACAGTCCAACAAGTTTATTTGAAATCACAAGCTTTCAGAGCGCGGTTCCTTTGCCATGTGGAGTGAAGAGAAGCACACAGGCACATAATTTATAGGCAGAAAAATCAAAAGATCATACAAATGGTGTGAGTGGAGTGTCGACAGGCTGAATAATAACTCTCTGCAGGTGATCAAAAGTGTCAGACAGTGACAGTAAAAAGTGTCAACAGCTGAATAGCAAGTGAAGGACGATCGATATCGGATTAAGGAGGATTGAGGCTCTGAAAGCTTGTGTTTTCAAATAAACCTTTTGGACTATAACCTGGCGTCATGTAATTTCTGACCTTGTCCAGCCAGTCCAATGCCAGTACCTCCACATCATGATTAATTCAGGCAGAGATAATTACAAAAAATTAAAAATAAAGGTGGTGCTGGAAACAAACCAAACGGCTGGAATAACACGACAGGTATAAGTGTCGCATGCCAAGGGTATAACCAGAGTAACAAGTAATCCAAAACTGTAGAAACTAATTAAGGTAGCAAGATCATAAAAGTTATCAAGGTGATGGTGTCAAATCAGGACAGTAACGAAGAATTTACAAACACAGAACAGGGTAGTGGAGTTACATGTAGCACAACATGAATCCAAGATCACGATTGAGGCCGTCTTCATGGATACAGAATTTGGCTATCAGTTTCTGCTCAGTGATTCTGTGTTGTTGTGTATCTCAAAGGCTACCTTGAGGACGCTTACATGAAGATTGGAGGCGCAATGTCCTTGACCGCTGAAGTGTTCCCTGACTGGGACGGAACAATCCTGTCTGGTGATTGTTGCACTCATTCACTGTCATAGCGTCTGCATGGTCTCACCAATATACCATGCCTCGGTGCATCCTTGCCTGCAGTGTATGAGGTAGACAACACTGGCCGAGTCACAGGAGTACCTGTAATGTACATAGTGGGTGGTTTTCCCCATGTGTGAAGACAGTATCTATGCCGATGATCTGGTATGTCTTGAAGGGGCTGCTGTGGCAGGGTGTGCAGTGTTGCGGTCAAAGTTGTCCTAAAGGCTGGCTAGTTTGGGGATTGCTTGAAGGTGGGACGTAGAGGCGTAGGGACGATCTTGGCAAGATGTTCGTCGATATCGACGAGATGTTGAAGGGCGTACTTTCTCTGCTCCGGGAAAGTACTGGATGACGATGGGTACACTATCAGTCATGTTCTGTGTTTGTCTTCTGACGAGGTCATTGCAGTTTTTTTGCTATGGCACTTTGGAACTGGCGATTGATGAGTTGAGCATTATATCCCGTTCTTAGGAGGGTGTCTTTCAGCATCTTTAGGTGTCTGTCATGTTCCTCATTGTCTGAGCAGATCCTGTGTAAATGCAGGGCTTGGTCATAGGGAATGCTTTCTTTAACATGTTTAGGGTGACGGCTCAAAGTGGAGAGGATGTCCAAGAAGATCACGCATCTCTTCACTCCATCCGACGAGGAAGCAAGCTTTCAAAAGCCTGTGATTTCAAATAAACCTGTTGGACTCTAACCTGGTGTTGCGTGACTGCTGACCTCATCCATCCCAGTCCAACACTAACACCTCCACAGCATGTTTACCTAATCTAGACATATTGGGCAATTTTCAGGACCAACAGGTCAATACCTCAGGGCCTTTTGACAGTTTATGCCATATGCAGTTAGAATTTATCTGATCAGAGTAGCCAGTATTAAAATTGCACTGACAACAAATATCAGAGCATGGCAAACAGCATGGCATACTTGCTTGCTCATATATGCACAGGACCCTGTTCTTTGCCGGCCAAAGAACATGTACATGCACAGCACTCTTGACATTTAAGCAAATTTTCTGGTTCATTTCTCAGTGCAATATCCTGATCAAAGTCAACCTGGCTGGTTTAAAACTTAAACAAAGTCTGTCTGTTAAATGCCAAATCAGTATCAAATCGGTGCAATCTCCATGACAATGCCCCACCAGTCACAGTCCACTTGCCAACCAATCAGCACTTTCCTTTCATGCATACAACTGTTGGTTTTCCCCTTTGAATTGGTAATTGGCTTTCGTTATAATCGGACTCACTGTGAAGTCATTATCACTATATCCATTTACAAATGTCTTGATTACTTATTTATTAATCTGTGCGCATTATATGTTTTGTTCTTTATTGGATTGTGTCACAGATATACTTGGTCTCATGAATTAAATCAATCTTGTGTTATATACATCCTGCTACAGTTTGTTTTTCCTGTTCAAAGAATAAGTAGGGCATACTCAACAAATATATATCTGCAGACCACCAAAAATAATTAAAATAACACCAGTCTCTTCAGTGAGTATGCTTTTTCCAGGCAATTTAATCTAATCTTACAATGAGTTGGAAATTGTTGCCACATAAGATCCTGTTTAGAACTTGTCTGTGACTTAAAAGTGAACCCGGTAAAGTTAGACAGTGTCAACACAATGAAATAAGTGTTGATATGTAATTAAGAAAGAATTATTCACAAGTTTGGTACAAGAGCACTTCTCAGCAAATGGAGCACTTTAAACTGCAGTCACTATTCTAATGTTTTCCGTCAGGATTTGCAATAGCCAACATTACAAAAGATTTGCAAGGTAAATGCCTCGCTGTCTTTAAAGTCAAGGCAGCGTTTGATAAGAATGTGGCTTTGTCAAACCCTAGCCAAACTGGAATCAATAAAATTCGGGGGAGATTTCTCCATTGGTCGGAATCCTACCCACAGACAATGCAAATGGTTCTGGTTGTTGGAGGTCAATGGTTTCAGTCCAAAGACATCACTACAGTAATTCCCAAGGATAGCATTGTACGCCACCATATTCAACTGCTTCATCGATGACT